CTTCAATTGCCATAATTAACAGCAAACACTAAGATTATTCGCAGTAATCAACAGAAATTCAACGCATTTTGACTGACCGTCCAAACACAATAGTTGTGTACTTTCTGGTTTCATATAAAAATTCAAAAGGATCAACCCTGCACTAGGTTTCCACCCGATATGACTCAGTCTTTCTCCACAAAACACCTAGCAGCCTGCCAAGCTCAACACACACAGCACAAACTCGCCGCTCCATTGATTCTGATTTTAAAATCAAAACTGTCATTACTGCCCTTTATCATTTGTAGGGGGATGTAGAAAATGGAGGTCTTGAGCATAGGGGTTTACAACTACTTGGCTTTTTTCTACCTACAGCCAAAACTATCTGCGATCAAGTGGACAGTGTGACAGAACAGATGGAACACCCTATATTAACAGACTAATTCAATGCAGGAGGGGGGCGGGGGGTGAGCAAGGTATCTGGAAGATATTCAACACTGAGGGGAAAACACAGATGGACTTTTAATCAGGTTGCTACTGGTACTATTGGCACAATAACTCTTGGTTGGCTACTGAAGAAAGAGACGGAGTATGTATGTGAATGTCCCAAGTGCAGGAATGACAATTCTTGATTCATACCTACAGCCACTTGAATATTCAGAAGATTATTGATGCTGGAGTGAAAGGTAATGAACGAGCAGACAGGCTGGCAAGGAATGCACCGAAGCAAGTGGGAAGAAGCATTGACAGAGCAGAAATCATAAACGCTGTACCTATGAGGTTACTCAATAATGACGAATCTCTGGCTCTAACATGTTTGCATGGACATAAAAGTAAAGCATGCTGAAGCAGGTCTGTGCCACCTTCAAGGCTGTGATAGGAGATATTTATAACCAGCTCCTCATGGGAACAATTAGTAGAAGTACTTCAGAGTGGCTGCTGTACTGAAGGACTGAGACTGATGGGAATGCCTGATTTCAGTGGTTCTGATTTTGATAACCTAGCAATTTTGGGGCATACATATATTCAACTGAAACCTGTCCAAATCTCGTAAAAAATTTCATTTGTTTGACTTGTTACAGAGGAATGGTTACAATTCTGTGGACAGCCAAAATTAGTAGTCCAGATATTTTGAAAGAGACAATGGCCTGAAGACAACTTCTCACAAACATCAGACAGTCATCACTGTTTAGCCATGTGACCAGAAGAGGGAAACATGTCATGACAACTGGAAAGACCTGTGGAAAGAGAGACAGAGGAAGACAACACAAGAAGACTCATGACATCTTTTTGGCATGGCATGGAGGGATATCAGCACACATACTGATAACGTTGTCTGTGGTAGCAAGTTGTGGAGAGGCATGATCACCCACACCAGTCAGCAAGGCACTTGATGATGATGATGATGCTTTGGTAAAGAAAGATGAAATGATTTTTCCAGGCCTAATGTAGACCAAAAGTGGGACATTTCCAGTCCCTCCATTAGGTCAGTCAGTCCAAAGACTGCCAATATGGCAAATAAGTGATATTACTGTTTTTAGCCATTGTAGTTTCCTCCATATGCAGACTGAAAAGTTATATTTCCATCGCCCAGCTACTGAGCTGAGTACATGGAATGACACTGTGAGCTGCGGATTTCATTTGGAATGCTTACTGACTGTGCCCAATGTGGTCTGTGTTGTGAACTGCAGAATCAGAAAATGGTCAGTGTCCTGTTGCTAGAGAACTGGTGGTGCCTTATGAGAATAATAATTGCAGGTGAAACTACCGAACTGTTGTCAATGCTGCTTCCATCAGCGATGAACTGCATTTCTAGTATTGGCACTTTTGATGGCTGCATTATGAATTGATTGTGTTGTATTCAATAGGATTTGCTGAAACTACAGTCAGTCTCAAAGTTTTTGTCACAAGGAACAGTGATGAACATTCTTTGTGGTTTTGTTGGCAAGGGAACAAGGTCACTACGGGGTGACTCGTTTGCTCCGCATTACGTGAGTCGAAAGACACGTTGGAGATGTATGATAATGCCTTTCCAGCGTCTTTTGTCCTCATCTCAGCTCTCCTTGATGCTGCATAGACCTACACTCTAACATCCTTGTATGCCATAAAATAAACTTCTGATATAGCAGTTCAACTGGACGTAAATTTGCCTAGAGAAACCACACAACAGCCAGGGGCTATTTGGGTTGGTTCTGCAACGTCATGTAAAGGATACGCAACTAACCTATAGCAGTTTAGAATGATAGATGTTTTTACCAAAGAACTGCCATTATACCACTGTGCATGTCGTGATCAATCCAGGCAACAAGTAGTCTTACACCTTCTGTTGGTTCACAGTCCATGTGCAGTTATTAAAAAAGTCCCTTTACAATCCAGTAACACACTGGGCATAGGAGACAAGATTCATATTTTGTATAGGCCGATCAGCACTCGAGTACAGTTATGGCCTTCCATTTAATTTATAACTGCCTTTATGTTACATCCAGATATCAACTCAGAGACCTCTACTGGCAACTGTTGCTTCCTGAAGAAATCTAGAAATAGTCAAACAATAATACAAGTTAATGCTGACCACATTATAAATACAAACAAAGGTAAAGTATAAATGTTAATGACAGCATGTTACCAATGTTAACAAGGACTAACTATAAATGTTAATGAGATAATGTTACAAATGTTAACAGGGACTAACTATAAACGCTGATGATAAAATGTTAAAAAGAACTAACTATAAATGTTAATGATATAATGTTACAAATGTTAACAGGAGCAAACTATAACTGCTAATGACAGCATGTTACAAATGTTAACAGGGACTAACTATAACTGCTAATGACAGCATGTTACAAATGTTAACAGGGACTAACTATAAATGTTAATGATACAATATTACAAATGTTAACAGGAGCAAACTATAACTGCTAATGACAGCATGTTACAAATGTTAACAGGAGCAAACTATAACTGCTAATGACAGCATGTTACAAATTTTAACAGGAGCAAACTATAACTGCTAATGACAGCATGTTACAAATGTTAACAGGAGCAAACTATAACTGCTAATGACAGCATGTTACAAATTTTAACAGGAGCAAACTATAACTGCTAATGACAGCATGTTACAAATGTTAACAGGAGCAAACTATAACTGCTAATGACCTATATTTCATAGACCAATTGGCACTTAGTGGGTGATGTGATCAGCATTATGTCAGCAGACTTGACTTCCCAGTACTTCTGCTTGGTACCCATTTACAGTTTGATCATCCTGGGAGAAAAGGCCATGCTCGAAAAAAACATAGTGTGATGCGGATTTTAACCCATGACCTTTGGATCTTCAAGCCAGCATCTAGCCGCTACACCACAGCAGCTCAGGACTGACTATCACTGTACCAGGTTTTTTACCTTTCCTTTCTATAAACAATGGCCGGCCACCTAAAAAACTATCACATAAAGCACATAAGCCATATCTTCAGCCACAATTCCCAGGAAATTCCAAGGCACTTTAAAATTTAAAAAACCTGCAAACTGAATGAAGCAACCCTCCCCATGTTGACTGCATAAGCCCGTGGGGGGGGGGGGGGGGGGGGTAATAGGACCCACTGCTTCCCTATTAAGCATGTCATAGAAGGTGACTATCTGGGATTATTTTTTTTTTCAAAAGTCCGAGCACATCTGCTTTTGTGGTCAGGAATCAACAGTCTCCATACACATAAGCAGATCTGTAAAACTAAGCAAATTCTAGATTTATAACAAGACTCGAGTCCAGAAGTAGACACACAATCAGAACTTCATGCTACAGTTTACAGCTGGTGGACGCTAAGAAGAAGAAGAATGATGCAATCCGTAAAATGAACCCATGAGCTTTCGGGAGATGGGACTAAAAGCTTCACCATAAGATCTCCTAAAATATGGGCTTTAGTATGAGGAATTACTCTTTTTTTTCTTCTAAATACCTGTCTGCCATATTTTCTCTTTCAAATTTATCATTTTATGTCCATTTGATTTAGATACGAAACATTTTTCCCTTGTGTTTTTCAGAGGCTGATAGAAAAGACAATAAGAACCAATGTAACCTAAAAGGTGAGTCAGTCTTTCCTCTTGAGCTGAGGGTGGGGCAGCTCTCTAAAGGATAAAATCAAGTTACCCCCCACACCCTCCCCCAGCAACAACAAAAAAACAGAGAAAAAGTCCTAAAAGGCAACTAATTAGGGATTAGCTGAAATCGGATGTGTTGGATTGAAAGGTGCAGATATCACAGCCTAGCTGTAAAACCACAACACAGAGTACCAACCACCAATTTCAGGGTGAAAGTATGAGAAGAATACAGTAGAAGAAGAAATTCTATGTTGTAACTGTCACAAATTTCTTTTGCATTCACTTTTAAAAGGTAGTTGTGTTGTGGTTTACAGCTGTACTGCGATATCTGTCCATTAAGACCCAGCACAACCAATGTCAACAAGTCCTAATTATAGTCTTCTGTTATGTCCTGCTTACAGTTTACTCCCCTTCCCCCTCCCCCCAGTGAGACACTGGAACTGACACAGGAAGTTATGGAAATATATAAAAGTAAAGATCCCTTTTCATGCCTGTAGGGGCATCAGGCATAAGGGAAGAGCACCCATATTTTTAAAGACCAATCGGCACTAGATGGGTAATGTGGTCAGTATTATGCCGGCTGTCTCTATTTTACCAGGACATACATCCTGGTACCCATTATAGGCTGGGTAGACTTGCGATGCCCCATACCATGATAAAAATCCACGCAGCTAGTAGTGGGTTTCGATCGCGGTACGTTGGAATTGAATTACGAGTCTGTGGAAATATATGAAAATTCTTTAAAAAATGAAAGACCCACCTTTTCATCCTTGCTGTTCCTAACCAACTAAACTTGGCTGTCTGTATTTCTGCTCAGTTCTGCTGCTATATACTTTCTCCGGCTCTCTCGCTCTGATTTCCTTTCCTTCCATGCTTGCAGTTGGAGGCTGTCTTTAGATTTTCCAATATTGCTGATAACCCTCTTAAGATCTTCAAACAAAAGTTTACATTTGAATGCATGCATGTGAGAAGTTAATACATATTTTAAAATATTATTATTATAAAGACCTCTACACCCCAAGGTAGAAGAGGAGCGACTAAGTAAGTAAGTAATTATAAAGTAAAAGGAAACATTTTTAAAAGAAAAGTAAAATCAATTATGACAAGTCAGCCTCTGACTTTCTTGTGAAGTTTCAGACATATACATGCAAATTACATGATTTAAAAGTGCTCAGAAAAACCTTTTTAATGGGGTGGTGATCAAAGTGTCTTTTTTCTTCTTTGATTCACTGACTGTGAACTCGGGTAAAAAGTTCTGGTTGTTTGTCTGTGTCAGGACAGGGTTTTTTTTCTTCAAAGCCTTAGTTTTACAAAAAAAATCCATTTGACATATCTGGCTTATTTGTGTGCAGACTGTTAGCTCCTGCCTTATGTTGTCAAATAAGGCAGAAATTCACTTGCAGTGAATTCCGTCTCACTGTGGCATCAAAGGCAATGAAAGCGCAGATGCTTTAGCCAAGGAAGGCAGTAACAAACCACAGACCTACCAGCCACTATCTTTTCTAGAAGTCAAAACTCTCATTAAGAGAAAATCAGAAACAGATTGGAAAACCAACACTGGTTATAACTACGGAAAAGATTTCCTGAAACACTTGAACAGAACAGACCAAGTCACAGTTTTTCGCTTACGCACTGGACACTGCAGACTCAATAAACACTCACATAAATTAGGTATGAGCCAAACAGCTCTCTGCCAGTGCCTTCGTGCTGAACAGACTCCAGAACATGTCCTGCAAGACTGTCCTCTCCTGGCGGAACTGCGGAGCGACATATGGCAACACCCAGTAGAACTGACAACTAAGCTTTGGGGAAACCTAAGAGACCTTGAAAAGACATCCCAGTTTATGACCCACAGTGGATTATGCGCATGACCAGAGATGGCTGAAGAAGAAGAAGAAGCTCCTGCCTCTCAGGCAGAGACACCCTGATTTTGGAAACATCAATTCTTCTTCTATTCAATCATCCAAGTGACCTAACTGCATTGTAACTGTTTACAGCAAAGCTGCAATATTTGTGCCTTTTGGCTGACAAATCTGACTTCATCGAGCATTTTAACTGATAGATGTCATTTGGCAGTATATTCAGGCTCAGGATATTACATCTCTGTGGGCCACCAACTCCAAGACCTCTTGCCAAATCAGATTAGGTCACAAAGGTGAGCCATTAACCATTGTCCATGAGGAGGAGGTGTTGCAGGAGTCTTGCATCTGTAAAACCAGCACAAACAAAGCCTGCTGGTGCCTAAAGCTAGGTACGGAAGTATCGTATACACGAGGGCCTTAACTTTTCATCATGCATGTGACCGAAATCACAGCACCACTGTCAGCTCTACATATGCTGGCCAGGCTCCTGGATGGGAAGTTATTTCTAGGATGACCCCAGAGAAGTGTAGGCAGGTCTTGACTAGTGTGAGCCCTGGTCTTGGTGTGCCGTGTGTGGTTCCACAGCTCTACATATGCTGGCCGGGATCCTGGATGGGAAACTATTTCTAGGATGACCCCAGAGAAGTGTAGGCAGGTCTTGACTAGTATGAGCCCTGGTCTTGGTGTGCCATGTGTGGTTCCACAGCTCTGTATTCCTTCCAGCATTCAACATTTTAGTATATGAATGTTGCAGACGCCTTCTGATTGGAGAGACAATATATAAGAAGGCAGAAGGAAAAATAATCAAAACAGAAATTTAATATTTGCTTACTATGCTAGATGTAAGAGGAAAGATTGAATTAGGAACGATGATTTCAGGAAGAGAGTCGGCACAGAACCAATACTGAACTTTATTGGTAGACAACTGATGACATGGTGACCATGTAACAAGTTGTCATCAGACTGGGCACCACAAAGAGTAATGTTATACAGATACAATGGTAACAGACCCAGAGGTCAACCACACAGAACATGGACCCCAGAAATATCAGAGACACTGAAAAGTACCATAAACGAACCAAACAGAAGGGCCCATACCAGAGATCTCTTCCTGCCCTGACACTGTGAGGCATTCCAGGAGTAAAGGAAAGAAGAAGATGATTTTTTAAAATCATATTTGTCCATGGCAAATAATTCAGTAATGCTTACTTTCAGGGCTTTTTTCACACACACACAAAGTGTAAAAATAGGTGGTGGCACTCAAAATAAAGCATCGAATAGTTGCCTGGAAATAATGACACCAATATAAAGTTGCCGGTCCTGCATACCATTGTGTCCCACCATTGAAAAAAGCCTTGCTTATTCCATTTACAAAAACCAAAAGCCAAATAAAAGCATGCTATATCAGGTGTGGCATAGAGGTTAGTGATCATGTTTAATAATCATTGAGTTCCAGGGCACCCTTTTTGTGGTGGGTGGTTTAGAGAAAGACAATTTCATGGTTTTCAGATGGCAGTACAAGAGCTGCACCATTAAAGAGACTGGGGCATTAGGAGAAAACATTTCCTTGACATCCGTGAATGCGCAGCTGTGAACATCCATTGTAGCGATGGCACACATTATTATTATTACAGTAAGTCCTTGATATTCATTTTTAGTTTTATTTTTCTGCTGCCAAACTACCATATTACCCCAAGTACAGGACACACGTATTTTACGAAAATATAGTGTTTAAAAACCAGAGCTGTAGAGAACAATCGTTTTGGATCTGCTTCGGAGTCGAAGAGGGACCTAATAAGTATTATGTATCGGCTGAATACTGGCCGAATAGGAATAGTGGTTACCTTACACATGCTTCTGTATACGCGGCGGCTGCTGCAGTCACTGTGAATTACTTGTAATAATACTTAGAATACTTTCATTCCTCGTTATTAGTTACCACAGACTGACTGACTTGAAGGATGCAAAACATTAAATGTTTTTAAATGTTTACTATTCTGTACTACATTTTGTGAAGTAAAATTTCAGCATACATTTGACAATATGACTGTTTTGTTTAAGATCTATTTTATACCCTATTCGAATTTGTATTCAGCCGAATAATTGGTCCCGTTATTCGTATTCAGCCAGATAGTGATAATCACCTTTTTGGTACAGCTCTACTAAAAGCAATGTGTGTCTTATCCAGTAGTAGTATATTGTTTGTTTTCTACAACTTTTCTGACCCAAAATCAAGGGAATGTTTTATGATTGTAAAGAAAAAGTGAAGAGCCCTTTTCTATGCCTTCAGGCATATTGGGCATATAGGGCTAGACCTATATTTTATAGACCAATCGGCCCTTGATGGGTGATTTGGTCTACATCACGCCAGTTGCCTTTACTTCGCAGGACTGTACCTGGTACCCACTCAAGGCTGGGTCGACCTGGGAACCAAGGTCATTTTTTAAGAAAGGCGGGTTCCGTCAGGACCCTAACCTTCCGAATCCTGTATTATACCTGGGGTAAATCAAATTTATTTATTTCAAAATCAAAGAAATCACAGGGACTACTTTATAGTATACCTGACACCCACTCATTCTTGGACTTGAGATCAGGGGCAGATAATTCATAATCTTTACTTGGAGTGTTCAGTATAAATCGATGGTACTTGCTTCCAGACTTCTCAGGTATGTTCTGGAAATGTCAACAGGCTTGTAAATAAGAACAGAAATTGATTTTTTGGTCAAATTTAACACAAATTGTGATTAACTTTCAACAAATTATCTGTTTATTAACAAAATTATTCTTAGGGTTTTATCCAGAAAAAGCTTATTTAAAAAAAAAAAATCGTTTTTTTTGGGGTTAGAATGAAGAAATCCCATTATTTTATAACATGCAAATAAAATACAGGCAGTTATGTTTTGCCACCTCACATGATTAACAGGATCATGTCAGTGTACTTGTTCTGTATGAACCCGCCAAGTATTTATCTTTGTGCATTCTCAAAATCGAGGAGAAGCTGGCCTAGCAGTTAAGAATGCAGGGCTCTCGTGTGGGTAAGAGTAGAAATAAAATGGTTGTTCGTCAGCTTCTGTACTTTAGTCCCTTTCGAGAACTTTTACGTGCACATCTGTTCTACAGATCTGGCTTATTCATAAGCAGACAGTTGTGTTGATTGATTCCTTACCTCTCAGGCAACTAAAGTCAACTAATTTAGGGGTGTTTCTTTCAAAGCAGGATGATGCTGTTTTGAAAGAAACACCCCTACATTAGTTGACTTTACCAACATGTTTGGGGGGGGGGGGGGGGGGGGGGGGGGGCTCTGAAACCATACAGTGATCTACATATCAGTTGTTAGGACCCATGTGTGATATTAGTAGCATGTCAGATACAAACTTTTACTTATGGAATTCGCCTTGGTAGACACAGGTATCCTTCTACATCAGAGAAGCTGTCAATGTTAATAACACTGCGGATCTGAACAGAAAACATAACAAGAAGCATAAAAGTGAAGTACCCAGTAAAATGTACACAGTGCAGACCCCTTAAGGCGATCTCTGATGTGGTGAATTTCTGTTGTGAAGAACAATATGTTTATGCCCGGAAATTGTTCTTGCTTGAATTCTTATCTTGGTAAGAGGAATTTCTAAGAAGAACCATTTCTTGGGTGCCTGAAGAGTTCTTATCAGGTATGCATTGTAACTGCTAGTGATGATGTCCTAGCTATCTGAGCAGTGAAACAGAGCAGACGAAGAATCCATACACTGAAATTCAAAGAGATGGACCTGAAGGACTAGAGGCTCTGGAAGATATTCAACAGTGAGAAGGAAACATAGGCGTACGTTTAATCAGGTTGCAGCTGGTATTATTAGGTGATGGAGCAGGTGTGGGAATATCCAGAGTGCAATTATGTCATATCTTGATTCATTAAATCTGAGCCAAGCATTGAGAAACCTGTTGTAATACCTTCACATCTACATTCCAATTCAGTTCTTTTTTAATCACATGGAAAACTGCATTGAAGATTGCACAGGACAGGAAAGCATGGAAAGTTCTCTCTGAAGCCTCATGTGCCACCAGGCATAACAAGAACTGATGATGATGATGATAAGCATTGAGAAACCTGTTGTAATACCTTCACATCTACACTCCAATTCTGTTCTTTTTTAACTTTGGAGAAATGACATCTACAAGAAACCCTAAAATGATCTGGTGAGAGAGGCCAAAGATGCTGGACTGGATTTTATCCATAATGCTGAGTAATTGCACAAGATAGAACAGAATGAAGGAATAGACTGCGAGCCCTATGTGATTTATAATGGCACAACAGGATAATGAATAAATGCCTTTCTAAAAAAGTATTCTTCTTGGGCATCGCATGTGAATGCTATTTAGCTATTTCTCATGGTACAAATCAGTGTTTTTCAACTGGAAAAGTCAAGGTGGGTCACCATAAATTTGTGTCTAGTCATAATTGGGTAAGGTAGGTCGTTTTTCTTTTTCAGGATTATCATCTGTCGTATTAACACCCCAAGAATGAGAATCAGAAGATGTTGCATCTGCTTAAAATCTGTAATGTTGTGACACTGGATTTAACAAATTTACATTTATTTTTTCGTTTGGCTGTCAGGTGGGTGGGAGTCGCCCTGGCGGAGCGGCTAGACGCTCGCCGCAGATCGGAGGGTCATGGGTTCACTCCCAGGCGGAGCCAGATTTTTTCAAAAATAGCCTTGGCTCCCAGGTTGACGCAGCCTTGAGTGGGTACCAGGTGTAGTCCCAGGAAGTAAAGGCAGCCGGTGTGATGCTGACCACAACATCCATCTTATGCCGATTGGTCTATAAAATATAGGTTAGCCCTATTTCCCCGATATGCCTAAAGGTGTGGAAAAGCGTCCTTTACTTTACTGTCAGGTGAAACACTTTTCCCTGTTTTAGTAGGCCATGGGTGTGAAAAGGTTGAGGTATCCGGTTTGAATAAACTTACCAAGTTCACTACCATAAAGAAGAACAACGAGGACACAATGTTTTTTAAATTTTAAAATGATATCTCTAGAGGTAATAAAATAGAACATACCTTGATTTTACAATCAGTACCAAGGAAGATGGTGCCTTTTAAATCTTTTTCCTCAGATGTAACATAGTATCTGAAAGTCGAGGCCGTAAGGACAAACCATCTCTCTTTCCATGTTGTTATCTTGTTACCAAACTTCACCATGTAGCCCTGGGCCAGAAAGTAACACATATGCACAATCATATTTGTATATGCATATACTCGCATACGTTCACAGAACACTGAGAAAAAGATGGATTGAAGGAGTCACTGGCACCTTGAGACTGCATAAAATCACGAAATATCAAGCGACTAAGCGCACCCTGGCTCGGCTGATGAACTGTGACGCCGAGGGGCAAAAGCAGATATTGACAAAAGAAAAAGAAAGAAAGTTCACAGAATGCAAGAACAGCAAGTCAAGAGGCGAGTCCAGGCAGGGTTAATATCCTGGAACCCTAGTGTGTGAATTTCATCCTTTCTTTGACTGCGCTCATGTGGTGAATAAATCGTATCCTTAAACTATTATAACCGAGATGTTTAAACAGGTTATTTTTGAAAAATTACTACGACCGCTGCTACGTTGACTAGGATTGAAAAATGCTGACCAAATCAACAATAATGCTCAATTAAAAGCTGAAATTATTACTTTTCTATGTAAATAACCATATATTTAATAGTGGAAATCACGAAAAAAGCAAACAATGAAAAGCTAACATAATTTACCTTCCTGACAATATCAGCAACAATATACCCATGAACCTGTGAAATTCCATAGCTAACAGCTTTTTGATCATCCAAGGAACTCAGCCTCTCCGAGGTTAATCTCAGAAAATCATAAAAGTCCAGCAAGAAAATTTCACTGTTTAAATTATCTGTAATTTGTCTTTGGCTCAAAATGTCTCTAGAAACTGGCAGCCCAGCCCTTTGGCAGACCTCCATTAGAACTCTCTCAGCTTCCTCCAAATCTATTTTTAAAGGTACAGTTAGGCTTCCGTCTTCAGCTCTTTCCACCAAGAAGTTAAAAATCTGAAATGAAAATGAACCAAATGTAGTAAAAGTAATTTAATTATTGGTAATATCCTGTTGAAACCTTAGGTTTATAATTGGGATATATATATGTATAGTAAAAACTGTATACACAAGGGAGATGAATGGTCGTAGACTACGAGGCAGACCAAGAACACGGTGGAGAGATAGTATTTAGACAGACTTGCAAACACTTGGTGTCAACTGGAAAGAGAAGAAAAACCTGAAAGATGAATGAAAGCGGGTGATATTTGGAGCAATGAACCTCAAGGGCTTGGAATGCTGAAGAAAAAGAAAACTTATAAACTGCTGAAATCTGTATTTGTGGGTGTTTATGTGAAATATATAGCTAAATAAAAGGAGTAATCAATAAACAAGAACAGAATGAAGAATTAAGTGGAATGGTTTTCCCAGGGCCTAAAATAAATTTCTAACATACATGACCCATGACCTCTATAATTGATGCTTGTGGAAACATTTTTATGTCAACCTGGCTTTTAAAAAACTATTTGATTTACAAGGAACACCCCCCCCCCCCCTTTTCCCCCAAATTATATTTTTAGTTAATGGTGTGCAAGAACAATTCAAGTTATGGAATAAGATCACAGCCCAGATGTCAGCCAACAACCAGAACTTTTCTTTTTCTGCTGGAATTTACAGCTGGTGAACACAATTCCAGGAATTTCATTAGCAAACAGCTAACATCTTTACATCTTCATCCTTCCTTCCTTGCCATGCCCATCTGCATTCTTTTCATATTCAAATTACAATCAGGCACAATTCAATGTACAAGAGATTGCAGAGCTTTTACAACTTATGTCATATGATCTCATATGACAGCTAATTTATGTGCAGCTGCCTTTTTCTTCTAAAAATATAACACATGCTATAGTATGATCGCTCAGCAGAAAGAGCCATTGCTCTGCTACAGTAAAATCAGTTAAAGATGGCAGTAGCTGTAAAATTCAGTAAAAACTATTGTAGAATCTGCAGAAATAGAGCAGTACAATCAATAATAATAGAGAAGTAGAAGTAGCAGGATCAGAGCAATTGAATCAGCAGTATCCGAGCAGTAACACTGCAGTAGAATCAACAGTTTCAAAGCAGTATAATCAGTGGTAACGAAGTAGTAAATTCAGCAGTAACAGAGCAGTAGAATAAGATGTAACAGAACAGTAGAATCAGCATTAAAAGTGGCTGTAAAAACACAATAAAAATGCTAACATGTTGATGTAAATTCTGTAGTAGGTTGGTAGGTAAGTTGTACCCCACCAGGACATCACACAAGCGATAAACACACAGTAACATAAAGTGCCACCATGCAGATGAGAATCACCAGTGGAGAGGTCCCAGGAAAACCCCTTCAGATATTAGGCCATATTTAGGGCCGCTGGCAAAAGCCAGGGTGGGACTTCAAAATAACAACAACAAAAAAACTGCATCCCACAGGGGAATGATAGTGTTAAACACATCAAACTCTGTAGTAATGCATCTGAGGAGATACAGAAAATTATGCCAGGCAATTAATTGTGCTATTCATTGTTTATGTCCATACTTTTAAAATTCACTATGGGAAAAATTACTTTGAAAAAATATTAACATAACTAAGCGAAACAGTAGAAACAGTAAAAAAAAAAATATATATATATATATATATATATTACTGACAAACAGAATTGGACAGGCAAAAACTGCATTTTATAAAATGAAAAGAATCTTGCGCAATATATCCTTGTCATTGAGAGTTAGAAAAAGAATTCTTGCTTGCTACATACATCCAGTTTTAACATATGGATGTGAATCCTGGACAATCAGTGGGCAGGCCAAACAATTTTTAGAGGCCTCAGAGATGTGGTTTTACAGAAGAATGCTTAGAATACCTTGGACAGCCAAAAAGAGCAACCAAGAGGTTTTGAAAGAGGCGGGAGCCTGAAGACAACTTATCACAGACACCAGAAGGAGACAGTTATCATTTTTCGGCCATGTTATGAGAAGAGGGAAAATAGAACATGTTGTGACCACTGGAAAGATCTGTGGAAAAAGGGATAGAGGAAGACAACGAGAGAAGATGCTTGACAGTCTTGTTGCATGGCATGGAGGTATGTCGGCACCCGAACTGATACATGCTGCAGGAGATGGCAGATTATGGAGAGGCATGATCGCCCACACCAGTCGGCAAGGCACCTGATGATGATGATGATGATATTACTGACATTATCAAATACACATGTTATTAATTTTGCAGGAGTTTTGTCATATTGGCGGCATGCCTCTTACCTTCCAAAGTTTAAAATAAGTATCACTGCTAAACTCTGCCTCATTGCCAGCATCTGTAGTCACTTTTGAATTCACAATTGTATTCAATGCTGATTCATCACTCTGACAAACTGACACACTGTGAGATTTACTGATCTGTCGATACGACTTTTCACACAGCATCCAGCACAAATTGTCAATCTCAGATTTCAGATAAGCAAATCTGGATACAGAATATTTGTCCATTTCTGTGAAAAGATAACTGTATAGGACGTCCATGAACAGGTCGAAACAAACATTTTCACAGGGCACATGATCCCAGATTGTCTCTGCCTTCTCCAGTCCCAGAAGATGACCCAGGTTGTTGGTCAGTACCTGAGTAGACATAAATAAATATTTGATTCAAAAATACATCAAAAAGATGTCTCTGTATCCCTGTCTAGACTGATGGACATGGGGGTGCAGCCTGGAGCTGCAAGAAATGAACATCTCACTAAGGGGGCAAGACGTTTCATTAACCAATACAGAACAGGCATCATCCGTTGTTTTACACTTGTGGAGCTTTTGGGGAGGACATCAGAGCACCTATGAATCTGTCTGGAGTGCTGTGATGATAATCCTTTTTAATGACTAATCAAAGGATGACTCAAGTTTGTCAGTACACCAGAAATACATTTCATAACTGATAGAAGCAGTTGTTACACAACAGACCAGTAGTTACACATACAATTAATTGCATAAGGCACTACAGTTTCTGTAGCAGCAGGTCACTCACCATTTTTCAAAACTGCAGTTCACAGCATAAACCACATTGGGCACAGTTAAAAAAGCATTCCAAATTAAATCAGCAACTCACAGTGTCATGCCATGCATTTAACTCAGTAGCTGGGTGACAGAACAATATCCTTTCAGTCTACATATAAATAGGAAAATGCAACAGCTTACTATTATGGAAAGCAAAAACTTTCCACAATTAATAACAGTAAACCTACCTATCTGCCATATTGACTCAAAGCTTAAATAATGAAGGCCACAGACAGATATTTGTTCCGCTTCAATTGTGATTTCCCTCTAGGGATGCTCGCTGACAGTTTTGACACCCTGAGATTACAAAACCTAAATCTGGATGGCAGACCAGGGAGAGAAAACCCAGAGACCTTGTTCAATCTTGAAAGAAATTATAACTGGGGCACTCATAATGTGCACACCAGACTGGTATAACTGGAGTCCTGTTTGAGTAGAGACTGTTTTATTTAGCAATACACCAAAAGACACTTTTGTATACATTCCCTACTGAAAAGATATCAAACCAAATAAAACGTTAAAACCAGTCAGCTTTATAGTATCTCAAACTACAAGTTAATATTGTGGCTAGAGAGCTTTCATCAGCACATTACATAAATCTACAATACCACAAGAATACACAAAATGACTTAACTGGCATATCTAAGATGGAAATCACATTTCTGATTGGCCAGCAGGAAATCTGACATGTGTGGCCAATGGAAATAAATACTAGTCAGAAAAAACCATGAGTGACAAGGATTGTAATTCAAAGATATTAGATACAACTGTTGAATGCTAAGTTCCCCTAGATAAACTGCCACCCATGAGGTGGGTTTTTGAGAGACTTGCAGACTCTATCATTATTGTCCATACTGTGTGGCATCGCTTATCATGATTGTCTATGACCAGTTGTCTGATAAAGTCAAAGATCGACTTCATTGCAGTTTGACATCATGTCATGGGAGATTACTTGTGTTAGAATTGATTGAAAGTACACAGGACAGAAGCTTGAGGATAGATATGACTACCAACAAAACCACGGCATGGACTATGAGAAGAAGATGAATACCAGATGGTTAACCATTACTTCCCCTCCAACTTTCCAGTTCTGACAATTCACTCCAGTGTTTCTTTACTTATGTTGTGCCCAAAGAATAGACTTCCGACACGGATGATCAGTTCTCTTTATGAATTAACTCTTTAAGACTATTTTGCTTTTTACCCGTCCCTCGTGTTCCCATTATTGTTCTTTATTGCCAGTTTCCTCATAATTGTTCCTAATCAGCAAACTGTCCATCTCTCTCTTTTTATCCTTATTTCATTTTACGAAGGAAATACAAGGTTTCTTTCCTCTTGCTTTTCTGACCACCTTGACCAAAGAAACATTATGCGGTGACAGTGTTTCTCTGATTGTATCTTTCTAGTCTGTGCTCAGTCTGCCTCATGTCTAATGTCAGGGCTATTTAATTAGTGTCCTGTGGACCAAATCCAGCTCACGAAGGCCTAAAAGTCATTTGTGGATCATTATCGTTGGTATTGTATTAATGGTCTGTCTATGCAGGTATAATATTTTGATAGATAAACTGTCACTTGATAGGCAAAGTGGTCGCTATCACACACCTGACAAGCGGCCCGGGGATCCTAGCTGCTATATACTATATTATTTATTTTTCTTAGCTGGGCTGGCTCAAGATGATCTAAATTGTCAAAATTGTGGCCCCTGACTAAACAGAGTTGATTAGCCATGCTCTGTAACAAGTAAACAGGAAAATTACATGATACAAATTTTAGTTTACCTTCAGTTTGGTTTTCGGCACACTTAATGTTCTTGTCTTGTGTGGGTGGCCAGTTATATCCAGAAGATCAAATGCATGCCAAAGACTCTTCTTGAGATCCTCGTTTGCCATTTTCTAGCCTGGCACAATGAGATGGATTTGGCTACAAGAGGAAAATAATAGGCAGAGTTATGATGGAAATATACTGCATGACCGCAGCCTCTACCATGGCCGACTTTTGCTATTACTACTACAACTGTTGCTATTACTACTACAACTACTACTACTGTTGCTATTACTACTACAACTACTACTGTTGCTATTACTACTACAACTACTACTACTGTTGCTATTACTACTACAACTACTACTGTTGCTATTACTACTACAACTACTACTACTGTTGCTATTACTACTACAACTACTACTGTTGCTATTACTACTACTGTTGCTATTACTACTACAACTACTACTACTGTTGCTATTACTACAACTACTACTGTTGCTATTACTACTACTACTACTACTACAGAAACTACAACTGTTGCTGTTACTATTGATGCTTCTCTGTCTTTTGTTAGCCCAAAAAAGATTATCTGTATCTACAATGTTGTTCCTAGTATGAACTTCCCTGTCTTTTGTAATTCCCTCAGACAGTGAAGTTCATACTAGGAACAACACTGAAGATGTGTCAATAATGGTGGCCCATATAAGTATAAAATGGGTTTGAAAACTGACTGACAACTAGTACCAGGAAACAGACAAAAATGGTAGGAAGGATGTGAACAGTCAGAGCTGGGACAAGAGAATTGAAGAAGAAGAAGAAGAAGAAGAAGAAGAAGAAGAAGAAGAAGAAGAAGAAGAAGAAGAAGAAGAAGAAGAAGAAGAAGAGTTTAAGAAGTAGAAGTTGAAGACGTTTCAATAAGAAAAAGTAAATGCCGAAAAATAACAAGAAGGCTTTTATTTTTCAAGGCAGCTTTCGGGTTTCGAGGCAAAATTTACTGGGCAATTTGGAATACTAATAGCATTGTTTTCTGAATACACCAGCATCCAAAACTCTTCTTGGCTTCATTGACGGTATTCTGTTTTAACTCTCTGAGTCCCAAGGAACGTATCACATGTTAATTGGTTACTACCTGCAACCCAATAAGTTCGTGACGTGTGACGGTTTTTAATTTACCACTTATCTGTAATTACACGCTCAATTTAAAATTCCTTTCCGGTTCTCAAGTGTGTAGTGAACACACGTGGAGTGCAATCGTTTGGGTCTGGTGAGTTTTTAACGCTATAAATCTATATTTGTGTGGTCTACTACGTTACCAAACAATTGTCTGAAAACAATATGTCCGATCAGTCATCGTCTTCATGCCCAGCAAAACAATTTACTGCTTTAGAAGCATCAAATTTGATAAACAGTGGATTGATCAAAGTAATGTGGAGTTGGATAATGATAGTAGCGACGTGGAATTTCCCCAAACCGTTGACGAGTCAAGTTTTGATGAGGAATGTGTGCGTAATTTACCTCCTACTAAAAGGACAAAACTGACTAATTCTGCCATGGCAAAACAAGAGAAGCACCTCGTAACAGCTAGTCCAAATGTCAGCGCTTCTAGTACTACTATCCATATCTAAAACTATAGATATATATCTATGAACAGGTTGACATGTTTACAGTGCCTTTACAGTTTTTTCTATGTCAGGAATTCAATTGTTTTTAGAAAAGTCACTGTTTTTGCCACTGGAGAATATATTTTGAAGTGTTATTAAAATTGCTATGAAACAACTATTGCACATTTTGCTTTAATATTGGCTGTGCATAGTTATAAGTGGTGTACCTTCCTTTGTGATGCATTTTGGATATACTATATCAAGAATTTTGGGATCAGCTTCTGGGTAAGTGGAAAAAAACTTGTTCATAATTTACTCACCCCTCAAACTAAGTCACTGTTTTCTCTACTAAATAGTGAAATACTAACGGTATAATTGTTTGTTGTAGCAGTATGCTAATATTAATCCTTATCCATTTATGTTTATTTTCATATATGATATGTGTATATGTTGCACATCAGCTGCAGTTGTGTGGTTTGTATTAAAGTGCTGCATTTGTTAAAAGTCAAAATCATATACCCCCCCCCCCCCACCCTTGGCCCTCTGATGCAAAACCCCCTGGGACTCAAAGAGTTAAACTGCCGTCTTCGCTGATCTCAAGCAGATTTGGAAAAAATTCTTGATTACTGCCGCGGCCTCCTTGGCATACGCTCGCGGCACCCCTGGGTTCCGCGGCAGCCAATTTGAGAAGCGCTGCTCTTAAGTTCAACATTTTTTGAACGTAAATTGTTGAAATTACTTGAAATAGCTAGTATTGTACAAGGTAACATCAGTGCCAAATACAATAACGGCTGTGTCATTTTTGTTTATTTATTTAAACTGAAATGGGAAAAGAAAAACTGTACTTAAAGTGAAAAATAACATAACAACATAGTTATACATACTTTTTACACTTCACTCTTCATCGCAGCTTACAAACTTCTGAAAAACTAACAATTAACTAACTGTTAATTCTTTCGTATTTCATAGTACTTTTTACCATAGACACCTGTAGCGAAAAATACTTAATTTTTACATACAACTGTAAAACCACAATGGTAGACGATTGACATTTGTCGTGGAGAAAACAGTGTGGTCCAGAAAACACCTTTCCAGGGACCTAGCTGTCCGATTTACCTGTAACCAGGATTTCATAGGTCCTCGGTCACGTGTCCTGGTCAAACAATAACAAAAGGCGATCTATTGTCTAGCCCAGTGGTTCTTAAACCGAATGCCGCGACCGTGTCATCACCGATCAAAAACAGACTGGTCTTTAACAATAAGTGCTCCGGCACCCCATTTATCTATCCCCTAGACCAGCAGTTCTCAACCTGTGGGTCGCGACTTGTTTGCGGGTCGAACGACCCTTTACAGGGGTCGCCAAAGTCAATAGGAAAACACAAATTTGCTTAAGTTATGAAGTAGCAACGAAAAAAACTTTATACTTGGGGTCACCACAACATTAGGAACTAACTGTATAAAAGGGACGCAGCATTAGGAAGGCCGAGAGCCACTGCTCTAGACAGACAGAAAGGTGCCGGTAGCAGCAACAACAACAACAATAACAAGATATAAAGCTCACATTTTAAGTCGGGAGCTTACTTCTACCCCGCCTGTTGATACAGTTCCTCACGTTGTGGTGACCTCAAACATTGAACATAACAAAAAATATTTTCGTTGCTACTTCATAACTTCAGGTGAATGTATGTTTTCCGATGGTCTTAGGCGACCCCTGTGAAACTATCGTTCGACCCCTAAAAGGGTCACTACTCATAGGTTGAGAACCGCTGGTTTAGTCAGTTATCCGCGCCGCCAGTAAAGTGTTTTTGTGTCACGTGTGATAGCCCACTATCATTGTCGTCCGTTAGCCGTGCATTCCAAAAAGACATTTTCACAATGTGGCCCCTTCCCCGAAAAACGCATTTCCTAAAACAGATGCCTAACTAGAGGTATTTCCTTTTAAATCAGAGTGCATCTGCTCGAGAGGAGGGGAACCAACAGCCTGCATACAAATTAGCCAGATCTGTAAAACGGTTTTGCGAGTAAACCTCACCAACTATATTCGACTGACTGACTTTCTACCCCACAAGCGATAAACACCTGATGACACAAAGTGCCACCATACGGATGAGGATCACCGTGGAGAGGTCCCAGAAACCGCGTTCAGACAACTGGCCATATTGATGGCCTGCCTATATTGCGGCCCCTGGCAAAAGCCAGAGTGGGGCTTCGAATAACAAAAAATTACGTCCTAAGAAGGACGTAACGAATTAGACATTACTATAACTCTAAATAAACTATATTCGATAGTTTCGAGGTGTGAAGAGGCATTCTCTGCTGATTTTATTTGAGTATACGATTTTGTTCTGCCGACTATTTTGGCTAAGGTATTTCCATCTATCTATCTTCTTTTACCCTACCAGGACATCACACAAGCGATAAACACCCGATGACACAAAGTGCCACCATGTGGATGAAGATCACCCATGGGGAGGTCATAGAAACCACGTTCAGCCATTAGACCATATTTATGGCCGGGCTATATTGCGGCCCCTGGCAAGAGCCAGTGGGGTTTCAAATAACCACAAATTTCATCCTCAAAAGAAGACGGGTAATATATTTGAACCCACAGTAATAGTCCGTGAGAAGAAAAAGAGAAATGGGAAGAAAAAAAAAGGACAACACAGATCAGACGGACAAGGGAAAAAGTGGGAGAGGGTGGTGTCAGGGGGTTAAAAAAAGCCACTCTTCTTCTGTATGGGAAGTAAGCCTTTTCAGGCTGGTCAAAAATAAAAATAAGGGCTCAAGCAGGATGATCTGATTAAGTATCTATGAGTGAGTGAGTGACTTTCTACCCCACTAGGACACCACACAAGCGATAAACACCCGATGACACAACGTGCCACCATGTGGATGAGGATCACCGTGGAGAGGTCCCAGAAACCGCGTTCAGACATTTGGCCATTTTTATGGCCTGCCTATATTGCGGCCCCTGGCAAAAGCCAGAGTGGGGCTTCAAATAACAAATAATTACTTCCTGAAAAGGACGTAAGGACTTAAGGTTATAATGTAAGTAAGTATCTATGACTGACTGACTGACTTTCTACCCCACCAGGACATCACACAAGCGATAAACACCCGATGACACAAAGTGCCACCATGCGGATGAGGATCACCGTGGAGAGGTCCCAGAAACCGCGTTCAGACATTTGGCCATATTTATGGCCTGCCTATATTGCGGCCCCTGGCAAAAGCCAGGGTGGGGCTTCAAATAACAAAAAAATTTCGTCCTAAAAAGGACGAAACTGGATTACATTAAAGTATCTATCGACTATTGACGGATCTTCTGTTCTCCTAGCTTGTTTGTTTGTTTGCTTTTTCGTCACAACATGTTATTTATGTAGCTTTCTATTCTTCGTTTTCTTTTTTGTTTCATGTACATGTCTCATGTCAGTTTCTATCTCGCTGCTTCATCTCTGCGTTATCTTCTTTTTTCCAGTTCGCCATTGTTGCATTTCCTTTTGGTTGGAGTCGTTTTGGAAGAT